TAAATTATCCAAACAGATGATTCTCAATATTTTCGTTTGTATATAATGACTCGAAAATGATTTCTAAAACAAAAATTCCTTTATTATAATAAAAAACAATAATAATAAATAATAATCTTCTTTTTTTTCCTTAAATAAAAGTTGATTGCTTTCTCTCTTTCTTTTTTTTCATCTTGGCTAGATTATAACAATTTAATCGTTTCTTTAAACATTCATCTCTTTCATTCCATTTTTAAATAACAAAGAAAGGTTAAGAGAGAAAGCATTCAATAACATATATATAACGCACACGCACACACACGCAATTCAAAATGCCTGAAGAACATTACATATCAGATCATATCTCCAGTAAACCAGGAAAACCTATACCTCGTAGTCATACTGTTGTAAGACGTCATGCTCCAAAACTTGGTAATCCAACTCCACTTGGTCTTTCTGCTTTCGCATTATCGGTTATGGTCGTGTCCTTTTATAATATGCAATCACTTGGTGTCGTTGTACCAAATGTTGTAGTTGGTGTTTCTATGTTCACCGGTGGTGTAGTACAAGTATGCAAAATAACCTTTTTAGTCTGTTACCATAAATAGTAATTTTTAATTAATTAATTAATTTTAAATTGCAAAATAGTTTGCTGCTGGCATGTGGGAATTCAGAGTTGGAAACACCTTTGGTGGTACAGGATTTTCTGCTTTTGGTGGTTTCTGGACTTCCTTTGGTGCTCTTTATATCCCATCATTTGTAAGTATTTATGATGAAGAAAATCATATGGATTCTAATAAATTCATTTATTTACTTACTTGTTTATTTTTTTCCTAGGGAATTGAAAAAGCTTTTGAGAATCATTTTCGAGTCTTTATATACAAACGAAAATATTGAGAATCATCTGTTTGGATAATTTAAATCGTCATAACTAATTAAATCAATCATTATGAAGCAACATTTTCATTTTTTTAATTAATTATAGAACACCTGTGTATCTATTGTTCATGTATGGGGAATGTAGATCTTAAATACTTAAACATATAACCCGAGTGTAGTGATGAATATGTATGAAAGAGTATGATTACTGATCGATCATCCATCCACAAATTTTTATTTTACATTTTTGGGAATTACCCCTCCTTTTAATTCAAAAGTAAAAATATTCCCAATGGATCCAAAACTGTCAAGACAATTGTAAAAGATGAGATAGATAACATATGCCGCAAAACAATTACTCTCATTTAACGAATGAGGCTCTAATATCCGTTAGATGAACATTCATTCTATTGATAGATTTGGTTGGTTATTTGAACTGGAAATTTACACGAATCATTGAATTTCAATGGTTTTTTAGGTTTATGTTT